CGGACAGAACTTTCCGGTAGACCTAATATATTGGATTTACAAATAAGTGCTCAATTGTCGTCACTAGAGTGCGGATCTTACTATAAAATACACAAATTTTGTGTCAATTACAAGAGGCCGAAGCTAAGCAGAAATTGTCTATTTGCAATAATTTTAATCAATTGAAAAGAGTGTAGCGGCAACTTCAATTTCTTCCGATGTTTCGACTGCTCGCACTTTATTCACTCGTTTCCGTTGTTAAGTGTACAAAATTTACAGTTTTCACGATCGCGTCTCGCTTAATAATGACATGAGACATCTTTGTTTCAGTTTATTTAGGAGAGTACATGCGTGTAAATGCAATGATAAAGAGAGATAGTCGTATATGTCTCAAATCAACATGTGCATATGGATTGAAACTTGAAGTGACACTATCGGACAGAACTTTCCGGTAGACCTAATATATTGGATTTACAAATAAGTGCTCAATTGTCGTCACTAGAGTGCGGATCTTACTATAAAATACACAAATTTTGTGTCAATTACAAGAGGCCGAAGCTAAGCAGAAATTGTCTATTTGCAATAATTTTAATCAATTGAAAAGAGTGTAGCGGCAACTTCAATTTCTTCCGATGTTTCGACTGCTCGCACTTTATTCACTCGTTTCCGTTGTTAAGTGTACAAAATTTACAGTTTTCACGATCGCGTCTCGCTTAATAATGACATGAGACATCTTTGTTTCAGTTTATTTAGGAGAGTACATGCGTGTAAATGCGATGATAAAGAGAGATAGTCATATATGTCTCAAATCAACATGTGCATATGGATTGAAACGCGAAGTGACACTATCGGACAGAACTTTCCGGTAGACCTAATATTTACCGCCAGATCCGCATCCAGTTATAGCATTTATACATATATTCGTAAAGCGTTAAGAAAGATTAACGACACCTCTACTGTGTTCTTGTTGCTGGGAATCTCTTTTGATCTGCGGAACAAATTGGAACTTCGTCCTGAACCCTTTTCAGATTATCTATTATTATAATTAATAATCATTATCATTAGTTGGACCGTGGACGTTCGTGCAAAATAAGCATTCCCAGCGTTAATTAGAAGACTGAGGTGCTATACGGATATTGATTCCGTTCTTTAACCCTCGGACAGCGGACCATTTTCGCGACTGTACTGTACAGGATGTTTGTAACTTTGAGCTTCGTTCAGCAATTTTTCGAAATATATATTCTTGCAGATTCGTTAGCCCTTCTACTGTTTCTAATGTAACAGAAATTTATTTTATTTAATTGCCGAGGGTTTAGTAGAGAGGCGAACAATCTAAATACTCTGAGTCAAAACTGACCCAGCCACCGAACTGCCGACATAACCTTAACGAGTTGAAAATAATGTAACGGCGTTTTTGAATTTCTTGAATGTTGGTAATGTTTTGCATTGAAGACGCGACGAATTTATAAAATCCGCTGTTTAATAATAATGACGATTATTTTAATGATGATTAATTTTAATTGAAATTAGTTTTAAAAATAATAGTTGTTACGTCATGTTTGTAAATTAATGTAGACATTCGCGGTTTGTACTTCTATAAAGTTAGTTCTAAAAGTAGTAGAAATTTGTTCCACATTTCTTTAAAAATAGTTATGTTGACTCCTTCAAAAATGCTTTTAAACGTAATAATGAGTT